TGTGCCAAATAAACCACTTAGGGGACATTTCCGATGTGCTGATGACATTTATAAACCACTGTCTATTGATCAGTAATAATCACAGAATATTCAATCGTTTAATATGCCTTTGCTGTAATAATAAATTACAAATGTAATTTTAATTTAGTTAACGAATGCATATTACATCAATGAATTTTAAGCGTTAATTTCGCTATCAATCGATTTGTAGCAAAAATGAACGAGGTCGAACAATGCATTAATGGTAATAGTGCAATTAAGAGAAAAATTATTGATTAAATAATTTGTTGAATAATTTACCTGTATACTCCATCTTAATTATTGTATTACTTTCACTTTCTTTTTTTTTGCTCAGATGAAATTAAAAATGGAGGGACACTGCGACATGCCTAAATATGATTGAAAGAATGAGAGAGAGAGAAAGCAAGAAGGAGAGAGAGAGAATGGAAATAATGGAGAGAGTGGAAAAGCGAGGGAGAAAGAAGGAGAAAGAGAGCGAAAGAATTATAGAAATTAATGAAAACAACAAAAACAACAATAACAACGGTGACAATAACGAAGATGAAATTTGAAAAGTGGAGAAAAGACAAGTTTGCTACAAATGAACCGAAAGTAATATTATTCGCCTATTCCTTTCTTACTGGTTAAATCTTTTTCACTTAGACTAATTGTGAAAATAATACTTTTTTCGATTGTGAAAAGTAGTATTTTCGATGGAAAAATTAAGTATGAATGTACAAATAATGAAATTATCTTCCTTCGATCAAATTACTAAGAAGTAAGTTAAGCAAGCAAATCTGATCTGATTAATATTCGCTACACGAAATAAGCAAGCAGGTCTGATCTGATTTAAAACAAGCAAGCAGATGTGATTTGATTGATATTTGATGAAACTATTATGTAAGATAAGCAAGCAGATGTGATCTGGCTGGTATCTGGTCAAATTACTATGGGAATCCGTGACTAATTGTTATTGCATATTTCTTTATCGTAACAATGAGCTGTATAACTGTCACTCATGTCAATGACCTTATTTTCAATGATGATCTGTTCCAGAAGTACACATCAATCCATTATCCTGTCAGTCATTAGTCATCACCGATGCTGTTTTATTCGTACACATTGAATTAGATCAATTTCATAAGTTAACATTAGCTGACAAACACATTTGTAAACATTTCTTGTCAGTCCAAAATTATTAATTTTTTCTTTTTAAACTGTGCAATGTGATGGCTAATTACTTTTGTTATAAAAATTTATCAGTCATTCCTTATCATCTTATTAAAATCATTTCAGTTAAAATATTTAGAACGATGACATGTGATAATTTGTCAAGCATTATGTTACGTTAAAGAAAGCTATAACTTTAAAATAAAATATTGCTTAGCTAAATCTATAATACTGGAATCACTAATATGTGTTCTTGTCCTTACTTTAATTTCTTTGAAATTTTTATAATGTAGCCTAGTTTACTCTAGTCCAGTTTTGTCTAATTTATTAACTATTTATTTATCTATAGTTATCATATAATAAGTCTAATATCTACGTATATTATAACTTGTGGGTATTAAACATTTTCTGATTTAAAATTTACTCTGCTAAGATGTTGGTTGATTTTTACAGATGAATAAAATGAATATTGGACATATTTCCCTGATGAATTTTCATCATTTGTCCTATGACTTCTTGACACTACTTTTATCATCATTTATACCTATAGCACTTCATTATTAAATGTTATTTGGATTATTGCAAAAAGAGAATAAAGACAAGAAAAGATTAATTATAATATATCAGCACCAGCAAAAATGAAACTTCATAAAATGAAAAAACTAAATTAGAATCTGATGCAAAACATTTCAAAGTTTTCAATTCAGTCGAAAATTACAGTTTTATCGATTTACAATGTTTTACTTCGTTTTTTTTTTTTTTTTTTTTTTTTTTTTTTTTAATGACGGCTTTTTATGGCATGCGCTAAAATTATAAATATATGGAAAAAAATTATGCAATGTCTTAGAATTGGAAAGTTAATTAGATGTTATAATATTGAAAAGTCATATTTTAGAATTTTAATTATTTATGATTTGCATTTAAGCGATAAAATTACTGTTAATAATAAAAGTAGGCCTTATAACAAATGAGTAAGTTTAAAGCAAATTCCATGGAAAATCAAACATAGTAAAAAAGTTTATTAAACAAATTAATTTGAAAACAAAGTTACAATTAATCATTATAGCTCTTAATCATTTCTATTTACACTAAAAACCACTGAAAAAAATTTTCACAAATAAATACAAACTAAATTAAAATTGGAAAAAAGAAAAAACGGAAATTTCAAACAATAAAAAATCGTTCAACAACTGCCACACAACAAATTTACCAAAAAAAAGGAACGATAAAAAGCATTTCGTAGAAAAAATGATGGAACAATTCTTTTGCAAATTCGGACGCAAAAAAAAAAAAAAAGTTGTGAAATTACATTTTGCAAAAAAAAAAAAAAGAGTTTTCATTCTGTCCCTCGTTTCCTTTTCGATTTTCTTTTACCGTTTCTTTCATCCTTCCTGCTATCAAATCATTGATAAATAAAATTTTGCAAATGATAATCATTAGATCAAAAAGAAAAAATCTTTAATTGATAGGAAATAACATTTTATTAAATTAAATTGTAGGTCATATCAATTAAATTATTGGAAATAAATTTTTTTGGAAAGAAAATCCTGAATGTTTTTAATTATTAATATAAAATTATGATAGAAATTAATTTCTGTTTAAAATTATTGAAAACTAACAATTATTTTATAAATAAGTGATTTATGCTATATGTTTCAATTTATTTTACTGAAATATCAGATTTGGCTTATTTTAATTTTTTCTATTTCTGCGTTTTTCCAATAAAAATTAGTTCTTTTTTTTTGATTTTATCAATTTATTACTACTGAATTGTTTTTTTATTGTAAACAAAATTGCTATTAGTTACAGCATATTGCGCTATTGCATCAAATTTTTAAATAAATTTTACTCTTCAAATCAGTGATTAATAATAATCCTTCGATCCTGTAATTTTAGATCAATCGAAATAACTGCATAAAAAGAGACAGAGGGAAAGGAAGACGGAGATAGGGAAATACTGTTTTTTTTTTTTTTTTTTAAGAAAAGACCTAAAGTTTAAAAAAAAACTTTCGATATGTTTTGGAAAGAAAAATTAGATTTAAACAAAATTGCTGAGTTGTGCAAAAATGATATTAGACGACAATAAAATGCAATTGAAGGAGTAGAAAGACGAAAGAAGAAAGAAAATTAAAAGAAAAAGGAAAAAGATAAAAAAAGCGAAAGGATTTGTCTTTGATGTAGCAATCACATTGGAAATAAAAGTTCATTTTCCTTTAGCAGTTTATCCCAACTATAAATTGTCCTTGTTGTCATCGTTGTTCCCTAGCAACAATGAATAGCATGTTATGATAATAATAATAATATATGAATGTGAAGACAAATGCATATTATTCTCATATGACAAGTTATTTAGAATTTTGTTTTAAATGGTGATTATTTTATTGATAATAAATAGTATTTTTATATGTAATAATAACAATAATTATGATGATTTATTAATGTTATATTTAATATTATTGATAAATTGGAGTGAAATTTTTTTTTCGAAAAAAATATAATTATATGTAATAATTAATTAAACTAATATAAAGTTATCACTAGAACTTAAGCTTGCCTTTAAATGATTAGAAATTTTGAATTAATAATGAATGAGAATAGTGTTATAATTTTAATTTGAGGGAATATTACTTGTTAAATGTTAAATATTAAAATTAAGCAATAAACGGAAAAATCGGGTTGAAAAAAAGAATTTGAAATGAAATAAATTTATTTGACTATCTTTGTAAGTGCAGTATTTTTCCCATTTTTTCATTGCCCTATAAATTTTCCTTCTTTTTCCTCTTTTTTCTACTTTAATGAAGTTCATTAATTATCAATGGCATTTCAAAAAAGGAAAGTGAAATTCCAATATTTCTTAAATATGGAACTTTTGCACAAACGAAGAGTAATCTATAATCTATAAGTACATAAATGATTAAATAAAATGTAAATAGTTATTTCGAAAAAAAAAATTATTTGTGAAGGAGAAAGAGGACATTGTGAAAAATGAAAAATGGGTGAAATCTGAAGATCTTAGAGAAGAGACGACACAAAAAAAGAAAAAAGCAAAAAAAAAAAAAAAAAATAAGGAAAGAAAGAAAAAAGAAGCGAAACAAAACAAGACGAAATGAAACAAAAAAAAAAAAAAAAAATCGAAGTGATAGATGTTCGGATAAATTTTGATAAACAATTTAAGGAATTCTTTCAGTCTTTTCTATCAATGTATTGTGAATAAAATGAATGTAAAATATGCAAAAATCTTTAAAATATAAAAATAATTCTATCAATAAAATTAAACAAAAGAAAATTAATAATATAAAAGCTAACATTTATGCATTAAATTTTAATCAGCACTTTGAATTGATCAAATTAAGTGTTTGTTTCTTTTTCCTTTCACAAATATGATTCATTTATTATTTGCATTATTTATTTCTTCGATATTTTTAGCAAATTAAAAAAAAAATGATATAATTTAAAATATCATCAATTTGATAAATTATATGGTATTAAATTGCATGGTCTGGAAATAAATAATTTATCGATTTGCATTGAAATAGATTGGAAAAGCTATCATCAAATAAATATTGTCTTTTACTTATTCTTTTATTTAAGCATTTATTTTTTACACGCATAATCTTAAGTTTTTATAGAACCTTTTATTGTCTTTTGCTAATCACTTCATTATAATTATTATATTTTGCTTATTCAAATCATTGAAGTGCGCAATTTCATATATTAATTTCCAATATTTTGGATTAAAAAACATTCCTTACATTTCATTAAAATATCTTGGTTTCAGGCAGAAAACAAAACAAAAAAAGAAAAGAAAAAGAAGAGGGGAAAAGGAAACGATGAAAAATATTGCTATCTTCTACTTTCATATAATCTTTTTACTAAGCGTAAGTTTAAATGGAAAATTTTCTTACAATCAAAAAATTATCAAAATTTGTTCTCAAATAATTAATTAATCTTAAATAATTACATTATTGATGATAGATGCATAATCGGATTAAAAGTTAGGTATAATAAATTTTATAATGAAATTATTAATTAAGAACTATCAAAAGATTTGAAGATTTTTCATTGTTCATTTTTTTGAGAAATAACTTTTTATTAGAATTCAGTTCATTTTATAGTTTAAAAAAATCTTAAAATTAATTATAACGAAAATCTCTCGAATTCTACAGCAAAAAATGATACCTTAATTTATTCTTTTAACGTTATTAACATAAGTGCACGTGTTGTTCCATAATTAATTTTAGTAAACATAAAATTTACCAATGAATTTTACCCCATTACTTTCTTTCATTCTTTCTCTCTCCCTTTCACTCTTCCTTTTCCCCATTCTCTGTATGCACTCTTTTTTTTTTGAGAGAGAGAGAGAGAAGTGAATTCACCTATTTTAAAGATCTCATATGCCGTCAAATATATCAAAGGTCCTAAAGGTCCACGAGGCGACCCTGGGCCACCAGGTAAACCAGGTGTTGTAGGACCTAAAGGTCTTCAAGGAATGACCGGAAAACCGGGCATGAAAGGCCCTCGAGGTCCAAAGGGCGATCCCGACAAGGTGAACTGATCTTAAGGTAAGCATATTTTCACTGATCCTCATAATCCTCTTAATTACTGATGAAAAAAAAAAAAAAAAAAACAATAATAAAAGAAAAAACAATTTCAGGAAATGAAATTTTCATCCTCCTTTCAAAAAATAAAGAATAAAAAAAAGGAGAAACTTCTATTTGATTTTTCACAAGAAATGCACAAAAATCGGTTTCCATTTTTTTCTGATCATCATAAAGTTAAGTACTGACTGCTAATTTAGTAATGTTATCAGTGTTATCAAACATACATTGTTAATTTTTTTTTTTTTTCAGGGACAGAAAGAAATGAGCTAATAACAGCCAATGGAAATAGAAATTTTAATAAGTTTTATGATATTATTGTCAGCATTTATTCATATATCTTTTGCTTATAATTTTCTTTTTTTTTCTATTATTATGAAATAATGATCATCCACAAATAAAAATTCATCTAATCGTTGCAAACAATGAATTAATGAAGCCAGAAAAGAGCGAAATTTTAGTAATTTCGTAATACTTATATAACTTTTCTTTTTTTTTTTTTAATAACTCTTATAATATTTTCTTAATACAATTATTTCTTTCACTTTAACAATTTTAATAACTTTTATGCTATTATCAATTAATATCAATTCCTTCTTCTTTTGCTTCCAGTTTTTTCTTTCTTTTTGTCATTAAATATTATCGATTGATAAGAAGCCGCTATAACAGATCATAATAATTACTTGACTCCTTTCCCATGATGACTGCTTTTCCTTTCTCAATACTCACTTAAAAAAATCGGTCATTTCAACTTATTCTTCCAAACATCTTTGTTCTGTTAAAGGATCAGTTCGAATTTACTCATCATTTTTTCAAATACTTTTATTGCACAAATTAAATTAATTCATTCGTGTATTGTAACAGTAATGTTAGCTGTCCTAGCACACGTGTTAAAAACGAAAAAACGGAACCAAATCAGTTTTCTTAATTTTAATACAAACCGTTTCCCACTGAATAACTTTTATTAGTTTAATAAGCAAATGTCGTAGGAAAAAAAATCATGCATCGATAATACAGCAAGAAGTTTCCTTCAAACATTATCATCTTTTTCGATAACAAGAAATTTGCATTCCGGTAATCACTTGTTACCTTTCTCTCTCTCAAACAATCGTTTTTTTTTTTCAATTTTTATTTTATCGTTAATTATTATCATATCATAACATTATATGACTTAATACCCAACAGCAAAAGTTGATAATTTTAAAATTAATAAGCAATCAAGTGATTCAGACGAATAATCATTTCACAATGATCAAACGAATGAAATTGACCCAAGATGAATAATAAGTAAAAGTGATACCACCATTGTGAATACACCTGAAATATTGATGTTTTCTACAAATTGTACTTTAATAACGCTGCAATAATTTCAGACTATTCGACTCTCTAATTTTCAGTTTTTTGATGGGATCGAATAAACCATCAACAGATGAAAGGCAAAATTGCTATTTTTCTGCTTTTGTAAAGTTTAGACAAACCATATGATAGTGGTATAGAGCGATCACCAGGAGGACCGGGATCACCCCTAGGCCCTTGCTTTCCACGTAGCCCAGGATCACCTCGAGGACCCTGAGGACCGCGTGGCCCAGGTGATCCTGGTGGTCCAATATCACCATCATCTCCAATGAATTCTTTTGGTACAGAAGGAATACCTTCTGTATTGTTTGTTTGACCGGTTCCATTGGTGGGAATTACAAAATCTACCGATCCTCTGATCTTCTCGGTGGTTTCTGGTGCAACATTAGTCTCCACAATTTCAGATATCATTAATTCCGTAAGCCCTTCTGTAGTTACCGATTCACCAGCGTTTCCCGCGGTTTCTACTGCACCTTTGGTGTCTGCGATTTCAGATTCTACAGACTTGGTGATTTTTTCTGTAGTTACCGATTTGTCAACCTTTCCCGTGGTTACTGGTGTATTGGTGTCTGCGATTTCAGATTCTACCGATTTGGTAATCTTTTTTCTAGTATCTGATTCGCCAACCTTTCCCGCTTTTGGAGATTCAATAACCGTTTCTGTGGTTTTTGAGGTTTCACTGTCTTTGCGTTTAAGATTACTAACTTTCTCATTGGCTTCACCCTTCGTATCGACTAAAAGCATTAAATTGCATAAAATGCTCAATAAGCATTGACATTTTATGAAAAGTTGTACGAGTGCAAAAGACAAAAGCAATACCAAATGAATTTGCATAGATGGTGTCTGTCAAAAGGTAATGTAATTATCTCCATAGTCAACTATTTCTATAGTTCGTACAATTTTTCATAAAATTTTATATATAGGATTTTGTTGAATAAAAATTTAAGAAATTAAATAGGAAATTTATTGGTTTCTTTATCAATTACCATTTGTTTTTTTCAAAACCAACTTTATTGCAGGGGGAAATGGCCGAACTTTTAATTAAATGTTCTTTTAGGAACTTTGATGCAGAAGCTTGAAAGGAATGGTTTGGAGGAATTGTTGGGAAGATTTTTTTCAACTGCCAGCTAAATTAAATGTAATTCATACCTGATGTGAGAGTATCAGTGATATCAGCCTACAAAATATCACTTATCAGTTGCATCAAAAATAAATGATAAATTTAAATAATAAATGATAGTGAAATCATTTTGAAACGAATTCTCATCTTTACCATCATCGCTATTAAAAGAGCGGTTATAATGATGGCAGAAGTTTGTTTCGTATCCTTTATTATTCTGCAATTTATTTCTGGTAAAATTGTTTAAAAAGAAAACTGAAATTAAAAGAAAGCTTGCAGAAAGCAAGTCCGATTTGGGAAAATCTTAGACGTATTCCTCATTTGACCATATGGCGCTTTCTGGAATTAACTTTTCGGATAACGGAAAGTTGAGATTTTGTCTAACTTTACTTATACAAGTCCTTGGCAACTAATGAAAAGGGAAAATATGTTGAAAATTTTAACAACCAGAATAGAAATTTTAAATTTTTACTGACTCGCACATTTCACAGGTAAAAAGCAATTTGGAAGATATTGGTTCCAGCAATAATATGCTGTAAATAAACATGTTTTCAATTAAAAGACTTACACTCTTTCAAAAGATAAAGACAAGAGAAAATAAGAGATTTAATCTCACGGAATATCATGTTATGTCAAGTTCACTTTCCCCTTTATTTTTCCCCATCACTCTTACTTAATCTATCAAATAGGATTAGAATTTCATAGATTCAACAAATCCAACCTTTTGACTTTACGTGAAAGCATCAAAATGATGTGCGATAGCATTTAGCATTGACTTAAAATGTCTGCTGCATGTTTAATGCAAAATGATGAATGCATGCCATGCAACAGTAATGTTTATAATTTTTTTCTTGCATTTGCAAATTTATCATTGTATATACGCTTAAATAGTAATACATTTTGCATGCATTTGTGCAAATTATTTTATTAATTATTTTATCAGTAAATATTTTTCCTTTTTTTCTTGTATCACAGATATCAATCAAGTTTTCATACTTTTCAGTGTTTTAAATATTTTACTAAAATCCGGTCGTTCATCAGGATTTTTAGCCCAACATTGTTGCACTAATTTGACTACACCGGATGGTGTGTCCTGTAATACATAACAATATAATGATAATAAAAAATATTTAAATCGGATGATGTTTTCCTGTATTATATAACAATTTAAAAAAAAATATTAGATGTATGTTTGAAATATATATATATATATTTTCACACCTTTGGCATTTCCATTCGATAATTTTGTACGACAATTTTTGCACGTGTTTGAATATTTGTTAATCCTGGATAAGGCTCTGAACCGTCGGAATAAATTTCCCAGACAAGTACACCGTATGACCAAACATCAGTTTTATTTGAGTAAACTTTTTGTTGCATTGTTTCTGGTGCTAACCATTTAACTGGCACCTATTTTAGATTTTTCACTTTTTTTTTTAAGTTTCTTTTTCTTTCTTTCATTAAAAATTGTTGAGTGTTATGAGAAAAAAAATGAGAACGTTAAAATTCATTCAAATTACTGTTTAAATTTTATATTCATCAAGTTATTTTCAATTATTCGCATTTTCTTGCAAAATAATTGCAGTAAATTCAAAAAAGTTAAATCAATTGTTAATTTCCTTAATTGTTATAACTGGTTCTGATTTTAAATTAATTCAACATCAAAAATGAATATTTCAATTAACACTTTAAAACTTACTGAATATTAATTATATTGAAGTTAGTTAATAGCTCGCTTTACAAATTGCTACACCTTGTTACAATACTAATTTAAACTATCAGAATAAGCTAATTGGTATTTTCTCACTTTGCTTAAAGTTTACTTAAAATTCAATATTTCAGTCATTTTATATAAATACAGTAAAATTAACGATTTATATAAGTGCAAGGGAAGAATATCAAATTTAATTAAAACGCTATCAATGCATTCTAACTTAGGAAGAAAATAAAATGAAATAAAATTAATTTGCGTCTTTTCAGTTACATATTTTTCATTCACTCTATTGAATTCATTTCCTTTCTTATCAAATTTATCTATTATGTTAATTTGCCTAATTATGTTAATTTATATAATTTATATATACATTTTATACTTGTTATAATACTTTTTAATTTAAATTATTCTTGTGCATATAATTTACTTAGTAATGATCCTTCTATTTTGAATACTTATTTAAAAAGTCTATTCTTGAACATTCATTCATTCAATAATGGGAAAAAATTAATAAATGATGAAAAATCTCCTTCACTACCTTTTCTAATTTTTCATCCTGTACAATGAGACGATCATCAGACATGCCAAAATCGCTAATTTTCACGTCAAGTTTACCACTTAGTAAAACGTTTCGTGCAGCAATATCACGATGAATACATTTTTGCTTATGTAAATAAGCCATTCCATCTGCTGCTTCAGTTGCAAAACGCAATTTCATTGCTAATGATACCTTTCCTTTCTCTTTTCGTAGATATGATAATAATGATCCACCTAATATTATTATAAACTTTTTAATATTTTCTTTTTTTAAGTAGAAATTTCTTTAAAAAAAGACTATATATATATATCAAATGATAATTTCATATATGAATAATTTTAATTGTTTGCAAATATTATTTAAAAGTAAAGACAAAGAAAAAACAAAATTTAAAAATAATTCTTGTTTTAAAATTGCAAACCGGGACAGTTTTCCATAATAATCATTAATGGATGTTCATGCACCGCTACACCAAGAATACGTACCACATGTTTATGCTCATAGCGACGCATTAATCTTGCTTCTTTCATAAATTTTAAACGTGCTTCACGTGTTGCTTCTTGACGCATTGTTTTTACTGCTACTTCTTGTTTTTCTGTTCCAAATGAATATTCCGCAAGGAATACCTTTTAAAAAAAATTATTAAATTTTATAACTTAAGTATAAATATCTTTTAAATCAATTAACTTATATTTATTTTAATTAATTTCTATTTAAATTATAACCTATAATTATAAGGTGTTCAAATTTAACTTACTTCGCCAAATGCGCCTTCACCAAGTTTTTTAACAAGTCTGATCGAGTCGTGATTTAAGAGCCACTGTGGTCGTTCGATAGGCCGACGAAGACGTGCTTGGCTAGAAGCCGATAATGGTTCTTTTGTTGATTTATAGTATTGTATTAAATCAGAAACGCTTTTCTCGTGATGGTGTTCGCAATAGAATGAACCATCCTGGTCCTGATTTACCATAAAGTGTCGCACGGCATTGTTATGTCGCACCGAAATCGCAAGTACTATCTCTCCTGAAAAAAAAAAAAAAAAAAAAAAATTGAAAGTTTATTTCATGAATAATCGCTTCATCCGATGATTAATTCCTATTTTTTTCATAGTCTATTAGATAGATTAATTTGAATTTTTTGTCTGTTTTTTGTGAAATATTCAAAAATGATTTATATCATTGTTTTGTGAACAATTTTCTTCTCTTTTCTTATTCAATGAATTAAATAATTTCAAATAATTTTACTTCCAAATAAATAAACAAATAAGTAAATATATATATATATGAGGAAAAAAAATGAAACATTGGCAAAAAGTTGTGAAAATTAAGTAAAATTTTTATTTTTTTTTTACGTAAAATTTTCAGACATTTGTGTTTTACAGTTAAGATTAAAAGTAAAATTAATTTATGTTTTTTAGTTTATTTTTTTGCAATCAGTAAAGGAAAAAAAGAAATATTACTGCTTAAAATATTTGATAAAATTGAAATTAGGAAAACATATACCAGGTGTGAGCTCAGTTTTTCGTAACAAAAAATCGCCTTCTTTTTTTAGCAGTGGTTCAATATCGGTACGCGGTATCAATCCATGATAATAATCAGCTCCTTTTACATCATCAGTTATCGATACAGAATCTTCACCCTTTAATAAATCAAAAAAAAAGTCGAAATGTCAAATTGATCTATGATAATTTGAATTTTATTGGTCTATCTTTAAATAACTAGGATAAAAAATTTAGGTTAATAATAACAAATAATTAAAATCAAATTTATGACAAGTTAAGCAAAAAAGATTTTTTAATATATGATTAAATTGTTAATGTCATAATAAATTTATGATTTTATAGATAAAATTGAAATTAAAGATTTATTTAAATTATTTAATTCAACAAGCAAAAACATTATTAAGTAATCTTATAGGTAGAATATACATCATATGAAAGTGCTAGGAAAATAGTATAAAATCTTTTCACCTCTTCCTCTTCCTTTTTTGGCATTTATTACCAAAGATTGCAACCACTCACCAACTGATAAGAGGTAGTCAATAAAATGAAATTCATCATTAAACTAATTATTATTTTGACCAAGCAATTTACATAAATCATTCACTAATTACTTTAATTATTCAATTTGTCATCAAAATAAGATGAAATTACTAAATAGATAAACAATATTCGGAATGAAAAACTTTTTTTTTTCAAAAAATAAAAAATAGGTGACATAGAAATGTTACTGAACACGGATCATAACAGTTCATCTAGATTAAAGTCTAATAATTTTACGTCTACGTAATTAAGAACTAGATATGATTAGTTAATAAGTATAAAATTCCATATTTGTTAAGCGTGATTAAGTTCAAATGTGCCAATTGTTAATTTTAAGCAATTCAATAAATTATAGCAAAGAACTAATTTCAATATATGATAGTTTTATTTTTTTTTTAATTATGCATCGTTTATTTCATGATTATTTATGATTATTCCATAAAATATATTTTATGGACAAAAAATTATGAAATTAGAGTGTAAAAAGTATTTCGAAATATTCAGGATGAAAAATTCGTTTTTTTTTTTTTTTCAATTAACAAGCTGACATACGCTACACATCTGTTAAGTTTTCAAAGTTGTTCAGTGATGCTGAATTTTTGAATTGGCTCTTCCTAAATTAATAATAATTGTTGCTTTCATAATTTCATTAAAACTATTTCATAAAATCTGATGCTATAATTTAAATTTATCCTGTTTAGTTTCATTTGAAAATAATTCAAAATAAAAGGGAAATTATAAAGTAAGTATAGAATTTAAGTTAAATTCGCCTTATGAAGTTGCAAAGAACTGTTGATAAACAAAAAATATAATCAATCCTTACACATTAAATTCTTTTAATAAATTCAATTCCAAAAAGAAAAAAAAATTTTTTTTCTAAGATATGTTTTTCAATGATATTAAAACAATGAATTAATGAAGCCAGAAAAGAGCGAAATTTTAGTAATTTCGTAATACTTATATAACTTTTCTTTTTTTTTTTTTAATAACTCTTATAATATTTTCTTAATACAATTATTTCTTTCACTTTAACAATTTTAATAACTTTTATGCTATTATCAATTAATATCAATTCCTTCTTCTTTTGCTTCCAGTTTTTTCTTTCTTTTTGTCATTAAATATTATCGATTGATAAGAAGCCGCTATAACAGATCATAATAATTACTTGACTCCTTTCCCATGATGACTGCTTTTCCTTTCTCAATACTCACTTAAAAAAATCGGTCATTTCAACTTATTCTTCCAAACATCTTTGTTCTGTTAAAGGATCAGTTCGAATTTACTCATCATTTTTTCAAATACTTTTATTGCACAAATTAAATTAATTCATTCGTGTATTGTAACAGTAATGTTAGCTGGTCCTAGCACACGTGATTAAAAACGAAAAACGGAACCAAATCAGTTTTCTAATTTTAATACAAACCGTTTCCCACTGAATAACTTTTATTAGTTTAATAAGCAAATGTCGTAGGAAAAAAAATCATGCATCGATAATACAGCAAGAAGTTTCCTTCAAACATTATCATCTTTTTCGATAACAAGAAATTTGCATTCCGGTAATCACTTGTTACCTTTCTCTCTCAAACAATCGTTTTTTTTTTCAATTTTTATTTTATCGTTAATTATTATCATATCATAACATTATATGATCATTAATACATTCTTAATACCCAACAGCAAAAGTTGATAATTTTAAAATTAATAAGCAATCAAGTGATTCAGACGAATAATCATTTCACAATGATCAAACGAATGAAATTGACCCAAGATGAATAATAAGTAAAAGTGATACCACCATTGTGAATACACCTGAAATATTGATGTTTTCTACAAATTGTACTTTAATAACGCTGCAATAATTTCAGACTATTCGACTCTCTAATTTTCAGTTTTTTGATGGGATCGAATAAACCATCAACAGATGAAAGGCAAAATTGCTATTTTTCTGCTTTTGTAAAGTTTAGACAAACCATATGATAGTGGTATAGAGCGATCACCAGGAGGACCGGGATCACCTCTAGGCCCTTGCTTTCCACGTAGCCCAGGATCACCTCGAGGACCCTGAGGACCGCGTGGCCCAGGTGATCCTGGTGGTCCAATATCACCATCATCTCCAATGAATTCTTTTGGTACAGAAGGAATACCTTCTGTATTGTTTGTTTGACCGGTTCCATTGGTGGGAATTACAAAATCTACCGATCCTCTGATCTTCTCGGTGGTTTCTGGTGCAACATTAGTCTCCACAATTTCAGATATCATTAATTCCGTAAGCCCTTCTGTAGTTACCGATTCACCAGCGTTTCCCGCGGTTTCTACTGCACCTTTGGTGTCTGCGATTTCAGATTCTACAGACTTGGTGATTTTTTCTGTAGTTACCGATTTGTCAACCTTTCCCGTGGTTACTGGTGTATTGGTGTCTGCGATTTCAGATTCTACCGATTTGGTAATCTTTTTTCTAGTATCTGATTCGCCAACCTTTCCCGCTTTTGGAGATTCAATAACCGTTTCTGTGGTTTTTGAGGTTTCACTGTCTTTGCGTTTAAGATTACTAACTTTCTCATTGGCTTCACCCTTCGTATCGACTAAAAGCATTAAATTGCATAAAATGCTCAATAAGCATTGACATTTTATGAAAAGTTGTACGAGTGCAAAAGACAAAAGCAATACCAAATGAATTTGCATAGATGGTGTCTGTCAAAAGGTAATGTAATTATCTCCATAGTCAACTATTTCTATAGTTCGTACAATTTTTCATAAAATTTTATATATAGGATTTTGTTGAATAAAAATTTAAGAAATTAAATAGGAAATTTATTGGTTTCTTTATCAATTACCATTTGTTTTTTCAAAACCAACTTTATTGCAGGGGAAATGGCCGAACTTTTAATTAAATGTTCTTTTAGGAACTTTGATGCAGAAGCTTGAAAGGAATGGTTTGGAGGAATTGTTGGGAAGATTTTTTCAACTGCCAGCTAAATTAAATGTAATTCATACCTGATGTGAGAGTATCAGTGATATCAGCCTACAAAATATCACTTATCAGTTGCATCAAAAATAAATGATAAATTTAAATAATAAATGATAGTGAAATCATTTTGAAACGAATTCTCATCTTTACCATCATCGCTATTAAAAGAGCGGTTATAATGATGGCAGAAGTTTGTTTCGTATCCTTTATTATTCTGCAATTTATTTCTGGTAAAATTGTTTAAAAAGAAAACTGAAATTAAAAGAAAGCTTGCAGAAAGCAAGTCCGATTTGGGAAAATCTTAGACGTATTCCTCATTTGACCATATGGCGCTTTCTGGAATTAACTTTTCGGATAACGGAAAGTTGAGATTTTGTCTAACTTTACTTATACAAGTCCTTGGCAACTAATGAAAAGGGAAAATATGTTGAAAATTTTAACAACCAGAATAGAAATTTTAAATTTTTACTGACTCGCACATTTCACAGGTAAAAAGCAATTTGGAAGATATTGGTTCCAGCAATAATATGCTGTAAATAAACATGTTTTCAATTAAAAGACTTACACTCTTTCAAAAGATAAAGACAAGAGAAAATAAGAGATTTAATCTCACGGAATATCATGTTATGTCAAGTTCACTTTCCCCTTTATTTTTCCCCATCACTCTTACTTAATCTATCAAATAGGATTAGAATTTCATAGATTCAACAAATCCAACCTTTTGACTTTACGTGAAAGCATCAAAATGATGTGCGATAGCATTTAGCATTGACTTAAAATGTCTGCTGCATGTTTAATGCAAAATGATGAATGCATGCCATGCAACAGTAATGTTTATAATTTTTTTCTTGCATTTGCAAATTTATCATTGTATATACGCTTAAATAGTAATACATTTTGCATGCATTTGTGCAAATTATTTTATTAATTATTTTATCAGTAAATATTTTTCCTTTTTTTCTTGTATCACAGATATCAATCAAGTTTTCATACTTCATCTACGCATAGTTCATCTTATGCTTATATAATTGTTAAACATTATGATTTACTAACAGACGGATGCTTTTCAGTAATTGCGCTTAAGTTATCCACAGCTTAGTAATTAATTCTGAATAATTAAAAAAGTTGCAAAAATGAATTATTAAATAAACTATATTGCTTAAAAGATAGTAGTCTGTTCTATCCTTAGATTATCTCCAGTTTTAGTGCTGTTACTTTTGCTGGAACTTTCAAACCGCTTACAGTATGCGTAGTATGATCCTAAAGGGTTGAAGTGTTGGGTGGGTGTTGTGCCATTCCTACGGGTGATTCGCTTTGAGTTATTGCATTTGCGGGGGATATGGGATAGTTTCAGAAGTTGAACTGTCATAACTGTATGCGCATATGAATAAGTGCATTCAATTCAATGTGTGATTTGTCTTTTATTAATCTTTCAGCTGATCGTTTCAAGTTTGGAAGTGTTTTTATTTAAGGGTCCTGTATCGAGTAAAGCAAAGAATATAAAATATGGCTCGTGGACCAAAGCGGCATTTAAAGCGCCTTGCAGCACCGAAGCATTGGATGTTAGATAAGCTTGGAGGTATGGTGTCTCTTTTAATCATTTTTTTTCTTCAAAACCTTTTCTTCATACATAAGTGTTTTGTCATTAAGTATGTTATGCAGAAGAAAGTGATAGTTAAGTCCAGATATTACTGGACATTAAATGACCTGCATGTTGAACTACTTTCTAATGATCTATTGGATTGCGCTTAGACATGTCAAAAATAATGTGAATCAGTCTAGCAGGAAAGACTCAACTATGCGTAGATATAGATGCACATAGTTGAGTCTTTCCTGCTAGGTTGTTTTATTACCATCGAGCTGAAATGACGTTGAATATTCAGTCATATTCCGATGACCCATGTTAATTGTGCAGTTTTATCATGGCCTGCAAGTGTGCAAGTAATTGTACTGATAATGATATATAAATCGTTACTTTCATTATTAACAAGTCAAGAGAATTAATCGCATTTCCATTTAGTGTAAAATCCTCTCGAAAATTTTTCAATGATATTAGTATGTGGTTGTAATATATTGTTTCCGATGGGATATCTAAAGTGTTGATGATCGATTGTGAGTCTCTCTGTTTGGAGGGCAAGTCGTTCAGGTTCAGTTCCGTTGTGAAAAAATGAGAAAAAATTGAAATGCAGCAGTTAGTGATGAAGTTAATGGAATTACCGTTTGATACAAGCATGATAAATATTTCGCGGCACTTTCTGAAATTGCTGCCTTGGGAATTTCTCAGGTTTTATCCTCAAATAATCGTATGATTTGAAATGTGAAAAAGCTACTTGGACAAGGAAAGAGACAGACAAGTTCTCATTTGCAATGTAATGTAAGAGATACATTGGAAACTGATCATTTGCTTGAAGAATTAGTCTTTATACTGAAATGAATTTTTACAGGTGTTTTTGCTCCCAGACCAAGGTGTGGACCACATAAATTGCGTGAATCGCTCCCGTTGATATTGTTTTTGCGTAATCGACTAAAGTATGCACTGACATATAATGAAGCGCGCATGATTTGCAAACAGCGTTTAATCAAAGTCGATGGAAAGGTGCGAACAGATATGCGCTTTCCTGCAGGATTTATGGGTATATATTTATCCTAGTATTTAGTTTTCATTACAGAACCATTTATTTTAGATTCTTATATTAAGATTGAATGGGTATCACATTATATAATGTGGGATATGTTCAGATGACACATTACTGTTTAATCATTTCAGATGCTTGATTAAGAGTGACAGATTTATCTTGTTTTGTTGAATATTTTTAGATGTAATCAGGATCGAGAAGACAAACGAGACTTTTCGCTTGTTGTATGACGCAAAAGGACGATATGCTACCCATCGTATCACAGAACAGGAAGGAAATATTAAACTGTGCAAAATAGTGAAAAAAAGCGTTGGGCCAAAAGGCGTACCTTTTATTGTTACCCACGATGCTCGAACCATTCGTTATCCAGATCCTCATGTTAAGGTTAGCTGTCCTATTTTGCGGTTTCAAAAAAAAAAAAAAAAAAAAAAACATGCTATTAGCAATATTGCATTAATAATTAAGTTTTGTAAATACATTATCCGTTCTTGTTAAACGATAGAACATTAGCTTAAATTTAGCTTTAGAATCAAAAGCTTTGTGATCTTTTTATGCAATTTTTATCGGTTTCCTAATTATTCAGGCGGCCTTGCCATTGAAATTGTCTCTTTGATCTTCTGTAGTATTATTAAGGTTGCTGGTAATTAGATTTTACACATTTTTTCATCCTTTTATCCCTAAAACTTTTTGTTTAGCGTTTTGCCACTTTTCCAAAATTTCAGGTAAATGACACAATAGTGGTGGATATTGCAACCGGTAAAATGAGTGACTACGTTAAATTCGACCAAGGTAATTTGTGCATGGTAACAGGTGGACGTAACATGGGTCGTGTAGGCATTGTTGGACATCGTGAGAAGCATCCGGGCTCATTTGATATTGTGCACATTAAAGATGCTGCTGATCATTCGTTTGCCACTCGGTAAGTGTAGGAGGACAATCCGGAAAAAATTACTTGTGTCTTTTGAATGAAATAGCTAAGAAAATTTTGAGGTTACAAAAAAAAAATGGAATTTCTAAAATTCTGTAAGTTCATCACACGCTTTGTTTGCGAAGCACAACATATCCCTCCATAGAGCTGATTAAAGAAGGCCGGGGCCTGGTTGGCATAACCACCGGTCCAGGTTAGTTTTTTTTTTTTTTTTTTATTAGTAATAGTATGCTTGCGAACAGTATTTCTATTAGGAAATAGACTTCCTTTTGCTGAAGTAGTTTTTAAAATTGATTTCATAATGTTCTGCTACTTTTCTTTGAAAGCAATGTTTTTGGTTCAGTTTTGTTTTCCAGTTATGCTTGCAAATAATGTTTGCTTCTGCGTACTTTACGCATTATCAAACCTTGTGTTTATTTACTTATTTTTTAGGTTAAATAACGTGTTTATTATTGGAAAAGGAACTAAATCTATAGTAAGCTTACCAGGGCCGACGAAAGGTGTCCGTTTGACTATTGCCGAAGAACGGGATCGTCGGCTTGCACAGAAAAGAGCTGCTTAGATCAATTTTGTTAACACTTATGTGATTTAATTGTACTGTTCAATTCGTGATTAAAATACATGTTTGAAATTTCTGCTTCATACAGTTTTATAGCTTTGTCCTACCACTAGTACATTTAATTCCGAAAAGTTGCGCCTTCTAGGCTGAATAAAAACGTGTTAGTGTTTATGAAAATAGGAAAATCAAAACAGAAGTACCATAAGAGTTGCATATTGCAATTAGTGGAATAGTGGAGTTTGCAGTATGGTGTATTTCTTAAGCTTTCATCAATTTATTCGGTGTGTTTCCTCCTAATAATCGTGATGGTACCTCATATGTTGCCGTGATTTTCTTGCGGAATAACTTTTGCATTCCATACATTTATATACAATTGGTAACTGTTAAAGCGATCAAAAAAAAGTGAGAAAGGAATTATAGTTCAGAAAAGTCGTTCGTGGGTTTGTGGCCTATAATTCCACGCTTGTAAAATGCGCGTAGGTGCAACAGTAACTGATATCTGGAGATCACTACATGGTATTGTCTGTGTGCATAAACCACGTGACATGTCACTTACGGCGTTGAGATTACGTCTTATCAATGCAATTTGTGAAGATGCCAACAAGCGTTGCTTACCAATAGAAATACCGGAAATTGAAATGCCAATTGTTGAGCCTCATCCAATATCACAGGCACCTATTATTGTTGGCTTACGAAAACAACCAAATTATGAGTAAGTGAAGGAAAACATTTTTTTTCGTTTATTTAAATTGGTAAATATAATTATTAAATGTTTTCATATAGATAATTAGATACTTTATTAAAGCTACATTTAATTATTTACATCCTGTAATTTAGTATCATTTGATTTTTTTTTCATCATTAATAATGTTATAAAAAATTTATTAGACCCGATTACCACTCACTCGTTTTATGAGTTATTCGTTATAAATTGTTATAATTTAAAATATGACTCAATTTAATTGCACTATCTCATGTTTATTATGGATTTTTATATTCTTAGTAAGTAATAATAAAAAATTGTGTATTTAAAATTTGATGGAAATTGATAGAATTGAAACAAGTTTACACGCTAATACATTCAAAAACATATTCCATTTTATATCAAAATCTCATTATTTTTGTTTTGCTTTCACAATATTATTAATTTGTTTCAGCTGATAAAACTTTATCAAATAATATTACTTGTATGTATATGAATAAAATATGTTAAATGAAATTGCTTCAGTTCTTAATATTATCTTTGAAATTTATGACAGTTGTAGTATGCTTACATATTACATTTTTAATATTGTTTCAGTTTTCATCCTCTTGTTGTTGGGAAGCCATTTCGAAAAGAGGATATTCAAATTGAAGAATTAGATTATCAGCAACCTGCAAGTTCTGGTCTATGCTGTATGGTTTTATTTCTTTTACATTCTTAGTTGCGAATATCTCTGGAAGCTTCTAATAGCTATATTTTATTATAACAAGTAAAATATAGCTATTAGAAAAAAAATATAAAATATAGAAATTAAATTTTTCACGATAAACATTAAGCATGTTGAAAGTTAATGGATAAGAGATAGAGTTAATTTTTTTTTTTTTTTTAATTACTGTTTGATATATCAATGAACTATCATAGCCTAATTCATTTTTCTTTTTTTTATTCCTACCTAATATGTTTTGCAGTGTTTGGCATTAATGACGGCCGTGATATGTTAGAAAACTTACGTGATCGTATTTGGGTGAACGAATATGTTTTGAAAGGTCAACTAGGTCGTGGAACAGTTCAAAATAAGATTCGAGGAAAAGTAAATCGGGAATGTGACTATGGTCGGTTTCTTAATGCATTTTTTGTAGTTTTTTTTTCCCAAAAATTTTATAAATTATTCCTAAAAAAGCATTAATGCTTGTTTATAAAGTAATAAGCTATCGTCAGTGCTTATTTGTAGGTAATAAGCTATCACTAGTGCTTATTTGTAGAGTAATTAGCTATCGTCAATGCTTATTTGTAGGTAATAAGCTATCACTAGTGCTTATTTGTAGAGTAATTAGCTATCGTCAGTGCTTATTGTAGAGTAATTAGCTATTGGTAGATTAGTAAAATAGATAAAAAGATAAATTACATTTTGAGCTTTTTTTTTTTTTTTTTTTTTTGGAAAATTGTGTGTGACGATGCAGACGTTTGTGACACATATTATATCGCAATGACTTATTAAGGGTGAACATTTCCAATTTCAGGAAAAATTACTGCTTACCTCTGTTGGATTAGGTTTGAAAAATATTTACCTTTAAATTTTGACCTATTTTAGAGCATATTACTCATCAACACATGTCAAGATTTCTAATGCGATTACAAGCTCATTACAAAAAGTTAGCTTTTGAGCTAGCAAATGTAGATTTAGAAAGCCAAGAAGCATTTGAATTGGCTCGAAAGGTAATTTTTTTTTCGTAATTTATCAAATTTTGTTTTGCATTCAATCTCTTTTTGCTTCCTGTTGCATTTCTTATGAAAAAAAAAAAAAAAAAAAAAGAAATGAAAATGAAATCATATGTTTTTTTAGGGTTTACCAAGGCCTAAAGTTCTTGGTGCACCTGTAATATATTTTATCAAATTGATATACTTTAATTTGCCACATTTTACAATCAATTTGCACTGTGTTTGCAAAGACGACAATTTTTTGCAGGATTTCATTAATGAAATTGCATTATCTCTAGGTAAATTTGTTTTTCCTTTCTAAATTTTTAAAAAGAATTCTGCTAATTTCATTTAATTGATTTACAGAAGCATTAAAAGTAATTTTATTTTTGTCATTTTGTTTTGTTGATCAGATTAAGTGATTTGAAGTTACAGAAACATTAGCTTTTAATTATCACTAGATTCTTTGGCTATCAAATGTAGAGTATCTTTTAATGAACCTAATTAATCATTATTACTTGACGTCAAATTTTAAATTTTTCTTTTATATATGCGTAAATTAAGATGTACGGATTTCACTAAGCAATATGTTACATTTTCTATTTACTTTTTATGTTATTTAATATTTAAACATTATATTAGTTAATATTTAAACATGTATTTAAACATAATAGCTAATAATTTAAATTAATATTTAAACATGTATTTAAACATAATAGCTAATAATTTAAATTAATTAATTAATATTTCATGGTATATATGCTAGTTGAAGATATATGTTAGTTAATATTTAAAACAATCATTTCTGCATTATGATCAAAATTTATAGTTCAATATTCTTGCTGTTTTTTTCCCTTTTTAACTTTAAACAGTCAAAATTTACGAAAAAAAAAAAGAAACAATTGTTTTCTAACAAAGATATTATTAATTAAGGTTCTGTGGCATCATGTCGTCAGTTATTACGAATACAATTAGGACCATTTAATTGTACGCATTCATTATTGGATAAGCATTTTACACTGAAAAATATTTTAAGAAATATGCAACTTTGTGAAAAAATTATCAAATATGATGAGAAAACACCAGATAAAGGGATTGTAAAAGCTACAGCTCAGTCATCTGTTGATGATATACTCAATGATGAATTTATCGAAACGCTTGATGATGAAGAGGAAAATGAAACTGTCGATGACTGTTTACGAATTCCATGGGGTAGAACTTATGAGTAATTTTTTTTTTTTGTTATAAAATGTATGAAATGTTATATTAAGTTATTACTAATTACAATGCTAATTTACAATTTATCCTAATTTTGCATTTATTTGTTAATTTTGTTTATATAGCTAATATATTCCGATGATCATATTGTAATGCATAAATTTTCTCATTGTTTTTAATAATGATCGTACGAAATTTTTGAAACGTTATAAACTACGAGTTATGATATGTTTTTTATAATCATATAAATAAAGTTTTATGAAGTGAGTACACTTTTTTGAGACCAATTATATCTTACTGTTTTCCTTTACTAATTAAAAAGCACATAGTTTATTTGAATTTTAAAATAGGTGAGAAATGTTCACATCTAGGCAAATATTATTTGGCTTTCTAAAATTTTAGGTATATTGAATAAAGATGCTATTGTTATTGTTGATTACGCATATCACTGGCATAAATAATTGCTATTTTAAATGGAACTAATTTTTGCTGAAAATTATTCAGTCAAATATTGTCTAATTTGTGGATTGTTTTGGATTATCACTTATTATGAATAAAGCTTTACTTGCCAATTAAATATTGAATTTTATAGAGACAGAAAATTGTTACTTAAATCTTTTCATGCTTTCAGTATTTGAATTCTATGAAATTACATACCTCTATCACCCATATGCACAGCGCTAATTTTAACTCATAAACAATTTTGCGTAAACAATAAATACATACGATAATCATCTTACAACATTTTGAAAATTAACCTCAAGCTTTTTTTTAGACGACTCTATGGTTATATTATTATTAAATGATTATCATTATCATCAAGAAACGATCGAAAATGTTAGCAGAAAAGAAAGACGAAGTGAAATCTTGAAGCAGTGAAATTTTTCCACAATTTTAAAATATGATCAGTGTAGAAGTAATAATTACTGAATGTATCAACAGAAAACTATTCAGAATCTTTTATATCATTTTTTTTTTAAAGAAAAACTTTTTGAACAAAGTCAAGATGATATAATACGGTATTTACTTTGTTTTAAAACGAGTGATTTTAAAAAATTGCCATTATTATTTTTTTTTCTTGAAACTTTAAAAAAAAACACAACATACCACCTGTAAGTACATAAAAAAGAAAATTTCTAACATTTATATTCATTTATTCATGCAAAATATTTTCAAATACATTTTAGTCTTCCATTAGCAGCCTGCTTTCTATGAATTATCAATTGAAATAAATTAAATTATTGTTGACTTTCAAATATCGATTTTAATTTCGGTATATTTTTCAACTAATCGGATTTGTGTCATTCAAATGTTTACTTTTTATATCCCTCTATTTACATAATTAGCTTAGAATGGAGAACTTTTTGCTTTTTTCTCTAGAAGC